CATTTCAACCGCACCTTAACACCAAGGTGGGAAAATTCAAAAGGTGCGGTTGAGATGGGAAGTTGATGTCCGAGTGGATCGAGGTCACGATAGCTCAAGTGGTAGAGCAGCGGCGTATCAAGCCGAAGATCGTGGGTTCGAATCCCGCTCGTGCCATTGACTTTTTTATCTCAACTAAAAACCTTAATTAATTGTGATTTAGTTTACGTTAGAATAGGAGTATGCTCGGTGGTCGTGCAGCATATCATTTCTAGGCTCCACCGCTTCTCCACTAAGCCGGGTCGGAGCGGAATATCGAGTACCCTCCGACCCGGATTTTAGAAAGGGGATATGCATGTGTGATTGGGTTTGAATTTATTGTATGAGTGAGTGTGAGAGTGACTAGTTTTAGGGAACGTAAGGAGGGGGTAAAGGGAATGACCAAAGAAGTCGATGGCGTCCGACGAGCTCAACCTCGGAGTAGCTTAGGCACCAAGGTAGGTGACTCTCCCTGATCCATCATCTAATTCTACAGGATGTCTGGGTTTTGAAGGCGCTAGATGAAGACGAACGTTTTCAAAGTGCTCTGAAGGATTTAATCGATGTAATTAAAACCAGTGGAAAACTTGGAGCTAATTTACTCGAAACCATGAAATATTGCCGTTGGATCTTTAACCGAAATATGTAATTCTATCAAAAATAAATACTTACAGCTGGAAACGGAAGCAAAAGATAAAGTACGAAATACAGCAATTCGGTCTGCAACCTATCGCGATATTTTGAACAACGGACCGATGAATAAGTCCCACTGAGCAAAGTTTTAAAGAGGTCATGAAACCAACGAAAGAAAATGCTACTTCAAGGATAATTCCTAAAGCACTGAGTAGGGAGATACCCTGTATTGAGCATAACCGTGATGACGTCAAAGACTGTAAGATCTCAAAGTCTGGCCAGAACGTCCAATCATATTGTATAATAAAGTAGTCACTTTCTATTGAGGACAGATTACAATAAAAACGGCTCTGTAAGGTAAATCTTATATTTGTGCACATAGCGAATCATGCAGAGAATAGCGGTGATTCTTTTGTAATATTCTTGAATTCTCTATGCTCCTTAAGTTACAAACCAGTATAAAACAGTTTATTGGACTTACCGCAACATCAAAGTGACATCATAACTGATTATTTAAAAATGGGTCAGAATGAAGCTCAGAGTACAGAATTGATGAAGAGTATTTCAATTAAACACACGGGTTATCGTAGCAGACTTGATCCGAGATAATGCTAAGCTTAGCTTTCCACTTCCTCAAAGCCTGGTTTCACTATGTATTGGGTTGTCCGGAAAATAATGCAGGATTTTAAGTTTTCATTTAAAAAAATCTATATAAAATATTCTGTTTACGTTTACAGGATTACTCATTTGTATNGAGAGTATGGGAAATTATTTTGATTAAAGAACATTGCTTTAAAGTAACTAGTTTCTTTTTTTTTGTTTAATACCAAAATCCTGCATTATTTTCCGGACAACCCAATACATTTGGTATAATAACCCCGAGAAGCCACTATTCAACTCCCCATCCCGGTTTCCGTCTAATTGTCTAAGGGTTATCCCCGTCGGTTTCCTTTTAGGCTATTTGTTAACAATCGCTGCTATTAATCCAATATTATCAACAGGGAAAGTTTAATAGAATAAACGTTGAAAGTTTTTCCGCGTTTTGTTTGAAGTTAAGGCAGTCGGGGAACTCAGTATTGTGAAAATTTAATAAAGTTATATCCATAAATAAATATTTTTGTTGTATAGAAAAGCAATTCATGAACAATAAATAACAGTTTTCTTGGAAACCCAACGCCCACCATGTATGTATTAATTTATACAATTTTCTAAGAAATATTTATTTATACTTCGGAAGGGAAAATTGGTTCATTTTATTTATTTAACTTAACATAATTTTGGTGTTGCAGTCATTCAGCCATTGAAGAATGTTTGAAGATTGAATAATTTTTCTACTAATCGACATTTAAAAATAATACGTTTAATTTACTGGATTATCATATACGTTAATCAGTACCATTTTTATCAATAAATCTAGTCTAGGTTTAACTTGTCGTTGGTAAATTGTGTTTTAACAGCATAATCGAAGTCTGTTGCTTCACCCTCTGCATTCAATAGCCACATATTTAACATACTCAAAATATAACATTCAGAGCACACAGTTTATTTATTACTATTGTTCTCGTTTCTGAATATCGAATATGTTAACTTTATTCGTACACATGTATTTTTTTAATTTTATTATTTTTTTATTGAGCATTATTTTACGAGGGTATTTCAACCCTCGGGGTGCCTGAGATATAAAATATAAAAAAGCCCATTCGTAAGTATGTCATAATCCAGGATCTTTAGCTTCCAGTGATGAGCGCAGTGCAACGCCTAAACCGTTGCGGTCACCGACGAATTGTGCATTAGAGCACTAATCTGCTGAAAGCGCAGTATGTTACATAGGTAACGAGATAATTCAAATTGAAACAAAAAGACGTCGAGTGGAGAACCTATTCAGTGATAGTACTCTTACAGTAGAAATAATCACTTAACAATCAACACCCTCTGAGCAGCACGTCATGGGGCTTCTAACTTTTTAAACGCCGAGAAGGATTTCTGGGAAGTGTTCGGTAGGAAAGTAGTTGTACGCGGAGATTAGGGTGAATTGTGTATAAATAATTTGTTGTGAAGTGTTGCTTTCATTCTGGACAAATAGATCTGTTATCTAGTATAGACGTATATAGATTAACGTGGAGATTAGAGTCAGATTATGGTTATTGTGGATTTTTTTATAGATGAATTATACAACTTCATTTAAAAAAGGAACATTTAGGTCATTACAGATGGTTCGGTCAGAAACATAGAACTGGGCATTGAGGATGGACCTAAGGATTCATGATTATCAGGGCGGGAAAGTTTGGTTGAACCCAACAGTTCTATACCGTATGTCCAAATGTTTTCAGAATTGAATTGCATATGAGTATTTTGTTGTGAAGTTTTACTTTCATTCTGGACATCTAGATCTGTTATCTAGTATAGACGTGTATAGTTTGACGTGGAGATTAGATGCAGATTAGGGTTATTGTGGATTTTTTTATAGATGAATTATACAACTTAATTTAAAAAAGGAACATTTAGGTCGTTACAGATGGTTCGGTCAGAAACATAGAACTGGGCATTGAGGATGGACCTAAGGATTCATGATTATCAGGGCGGGAAAGTTTGTTGAACCCAACAGTTCTATGCCGTATGTCCAATTGTTTTCAGAATTGAATTGCATATGAGTGTTTTGTTGTGAAGTGTTACTTTCATTCTGGACATCTAGATCTGTTATCTAGTATAGACGTATATAGTTTGACGTAGAGATTAGATGCAGATTAGGGTTATTGTAGATCTTTTTATAGATGAATTATACAACTTCATTTAAATTGTATAATTTCGTTTTATGACAAGCCATTTCATAAAGGCCGCCAAAGCGACATAAACAATCAATAAGGCAGAGTTCCAACGATTGAGGAGGCAGACGAAAGGACGGCGGCAGGCCTAAGGGAGAGCCAAGCTGGATTTGGAGTTACTCCGTCGCTTGCAACTTTAGAAAGAAGATAAAGTAAAAATAAAAGTGTGCGACGTTATCAAGACAAAAAAACTGCTAGTGAAGAATTCTAGTGGAGTGGTGTTCGTACATCAAGGTTCGTTACACTGTTCTATACAACTTGTCCAGTGAAAAGGAAACTGAAAAAATAACTTTACACTTAATTACTTTCTATCATAAGAAAATATTCTTTTCTCCTTACTAAATTAATTGTAACCATTTATAAGATATATTCGATTCATTAATTTGTTATTAATATAAGAAGTTTTTATGTTTAACGGGTACAGACTTATTATTTTATTTAATTTTATTTTTTATAACCATATTAAACCCACAACGTTATAAATACATGCTCCCACAACGTTATAAATACTGGTAGCAGAGCAAAAACCCGTCCTTTGATTAAAAATAAATAAATAAAAAATAATAATAATAAAAAATGTCGGACTCATATAGGCCTACGGCTTCAAACACGCTGGTTGCGGCTAGTTTCCAACTTACCAATTCAAAGAGGTGATTCGAAGCGAAGAGGTAGCAAAATGCGCTATAAAAGTGGAACTGGTGGGAGCGTGTATTTATAACGTTGTGGGATTAATATGGTAATAAAAAATAACATAATAAGTTGTACCCGTTAAACATAAAAACTTCTTATATTAATAACAAATTAATGAATCGAATATATCTTACAAATGGTTACAACTAATTTAGTAAGGAAAAGGGAATATTTTCTTATGATAGAAAGTAATTAAGTGTAAAGTTATTTTTTTTTTGGTATCCTTTTCACTGGACAAGTTGTATAGTATTAGTAGTAACGAACCTTGATGAACGAACACCACTCCACTAGAATTCTTCACTAGCAGTTTTTTTTTTGTCTTGATAACGTCACACACCTTTATTTTTACTTTATCTTCTTTCTATAGTTGCAAGCGACCGAGTAACTCCAAATCCAGCGTGGCTCTCCCTTAGGCCTGCCGCCGTCCTTTCGTCTGCCTCCTCAATCGTTGGAACTCTGCCTTATTGATTGCTTATGTCGCTTTGGCGGCCTTTATGAAATGGCTTGTCATAGTTTATATTATTGCGTGAACCATATAAGTAGGAAATATGTAATTAAATCGTAATGTATCGTTCCTTGGTGCTTCTGAAGCAAAATTATATGTAAAGTAGGTTTTTAAATTTCTTAAGTTTTTTCTTTTGAAACTGAGGCTTAGCACAAAAAAGCAGAGAAACGTTATTGGTGCTTGCCTGTAATTAAGCACGTCCTTCTATGACCTAGTAATTTCAAAAGAAAAAAGTTTCAGAACATCTCTTGCAAAGTAAATCAAAGTGATAAGGGATTTTTTTTAAGAAAGAAATTACAAAGGATGTTGAAAATAACGCAAACTATTATTACAAAAAAATATATTTTAAAAAATAATTAATTACACGTACAAAAATAAAATACTTCTATACACACCGTTTTATAATATTAATGAGGTGACTAATATCACTCGCACTCTCATTGTTGGCACGATTCTCCTCAGGGACAAAGCAAACGGTTTTCAGTTTTGCATCGGAAGGGAAATAAATATTATTGGATGAGGTAGTAGTTGTGCTGAGGGGCCGGTGATGACGGCGTGTACCTGGGAGGGACCGTCGACGAGCGATAGTAGACGGGGGCAGGGGTGGAGCTGACGGTGTAATAGTCTGCCGCTGGGGTCGAACTGACAGTGTAATAGTCGGCTGTGAATTTGGGGGCGGGGGTCGATTGCAGGAAGAAGCTCGGGGTCGGGGTCGAGCCACCGCTGAACAGCTGCGGGGCTGCAGTCCTCCCGGACGGTTTCGCTTCCGACTGTTCCTCGTGAATCGGAGTGTAATCCGGCTTAGCAGTGTACTGGAGGTACACTTGCTTGTAATCGTCCTTCACAACCCCCGGCTTGTAGACGGCTTTGTATTTGAGAACGGGCTGCGGCTTATAGTCATATAAAGGCTCAACTGAGTTCTCGTCGTCATACCTTAAAAACAAATCACAAAAAAACATAAGTTATGCTTCATTGCTTCTTTTTTTTTTCAATTTGAGAAGAAAATAAAATTTCTCCTTCAAAATTTTGAGAAAAAATTAACCTATTTTAATTTGTGTAGTATATAGTGACTTAGTTAATGATTATTCGGAGATGGTGAGATGCGATCTAGTGTGATATGGGTATGTTGTGCCATGTGGTAAAATTAAGAAAATGTTTTTCTAAACCTTCACCGCAAGACCGCATCTCACGATCTCCAAGTAATCTATTTTAATATTTTTATTGGTTTCTGGAATTTCAATTCAATTCTTTCTCGTCAGATGAAAATCTATCTTCCTTACTTTCACTTATTCTTGTAAATCCTTGGCCTACTCCGTTTTATCTTCAAGGTTATTCAATACAACAGAGCTGTCAGTCATGGAAACTATATAATATTTTGGATAGAAACAAAAAATAAATAAATAAATAAAAGAAGCAAAAGAAAATAAAAAATATGAAAGTAAGAAGGAAAGGTTAATTCAGTGTTTAACCAATCTACCATTTCTAGCCAAATCCAACAAACGACTTACAGTTTATAATTTGGTCCGTCAATTTTAATCAGTCGTTAACTAAAAGTTGTAATTTAAACACATTTTCTGTTAGGTAGTTAATTATTTATATCAAGCTGTCTGGACAGATCCGAGCGTTTGGTGGTACCAGTGTGAAGCTAAATAAATAAAAACCACAATACAATATGATACAAATATAATACAAAAAAAGACCTGTATATCATAAAAAATAGAATTATTTGTTTAAATGTATTTGAAATATACATTTAGACCGGATGTCCTGTAAACAGACATCGATACTCCAGGAAGTACTTCGTCAAAATGTAAAATCCCTATTATCCAAAGCTGATTGTTAATTGTATTCGATATATTTCATTTTCAGGTTAGTTAAACCTTTCACATCTTTTTTCCATGCACTAATTAAGGTTTTCAGTTGAGATAAAAAAAGTCAGTGTCACGAGCGGGATTCGAACCCACGATCTTCGGCTAGATACGCCGCTGCTCTACCACTTGAGCTATCGTGACCTCGATCCATTCGGACACTAGCTTCCTATCTCAACCCCACCTTTTAAATTTTCCCTCCTTTTTGCCATTTTTCAAGTTGTTTAGTTTTTATCTCAAGTAAAATGAATTCATTGAAGTATATTAATTGGTCAAGTTAAACTAGTGAATTTATTTCATAAAGTTAAATTATTAATTATTTATATCATTCATTATGTTCTGTTTTCATACAATGACCTGTGGGAAGGGTCCGAACTTTTACCAGCGTGAAATTTAAGAAATACAAATAAAAAAACAAACCATGATAAAAAAACGACCTGTTCTTTTATATAAAAAAAGGAAATATAATTATGTTGTTAAATATTGATACTGGGTGTCCTATAAACGGACATCAATACTCCTGTAGGTTATGCTACGTCAAAATGGAAAAGTCCCTATTCTCCAGAGTCTGATTGTCTAGTGTATTCGATATATTTCACTATTCAGGTTAGCTCAAATTTTCACAACTTTATTCCATGAAGTCTCGTAATCTCATAAAATGTTATCTTATTGTAAATTTGATTATACAAAGAGCATTGAAGCCCTGTGAGATTCATTTTTTTATTGTAACCTCAAGCGGACAAAATAAACGATTACTTAGAATATAAACTTTTACAAGTTTGCCAAGTTCTTGCCTAAAGTTTACGAGAGATTTTATTGATTCTGAAATACTGACAAATAAGCTGTAAACAAAGATCTCAATTTTTCAGCTCAGTCACTTATCAGTTATCACAAACGTAAAATTAACGTTTACTTGCTAAAAATATGATTTTTCGGTTACGAACGGTTTATAAAATTATCCATTAATGTGTGGTGATGAGTGACCGTTTGTCGATGATTATTCATAAATCGTGAGATGCGGTCTGGTGAGATGTAGGTTTCAGAAAAACATTTTCTTTATCGTGCCAACGTTTCGATCTTTATTGAGATCATCTTCAGGAAATGTTTTTCTGAAACCTGCATCACACCAGACCGCATCTCACGATTTCTGAATAATTATCCATTAATAATTTAAAACCTATTGAATAATAATAAAAGTAATATAAAGTAAGGAAAAAGGACCCTTTGGTACAGAATTATACAAGAAAAAACCCAAAAGCTTTACGTTCATTTTTGTATTAAAGAGCCTTTCGAGTTTACTTTTATTATTTTTCAATAGAAGTTTCAAAATCTTAATGAGTATATTTTTCACTGTGTGTACCCGAGAATTAGACTTTGTACAATTGGGAAATTTTAATACAATACGACATAACCAACCAGGATAACCTCTTGTTATATTGACGTCTGTTCACGTGTCAACATGTATTTTAATATATACTATATCATTTAGTAGCAGATGTTTCCGTGACATCTAAGTCTAATAAAATTTAACGACTAGAAGACAATATGAGTAAATTGTATTATTTTAAATGTATTAACAATAGTGTTTTAACCATTGTATTATTGTGAATGTATTGTATATTTCATTACGTATGTATTAATCATTCCTTTTCTTTTCCAAACATGAAATAACTGGCCATGTATTTTTTGTGAAATTTCCTCTTGGGGTCTGCGAGATGACCTTATTTTGGTCGTTACTGACTGTATGTGTTATGCATATACAGTGAAACCTCCAATGAGGCTCTGTAAAGATAACACTCTGTATACAAGACAGTTACATGTGCATCTTCATGGAAGATTAATTTTTTATTTGACATCCCTACTCAGAGGATACTGAAAATAAAAGACATGGACACTGTCGTGTCGTCCTACAGTGAATAGTTCTACAATCTGCAACAATACAGAAAGTTTCTGAATAGAGGGCAGGTTAGATTAGTTTTTCAATTTTCTTAGAAAACAAATTAACTCCGAATGTTAAAATGACTTTTTGCATGTTTATAATTATTGATTAATTTAATCGAATTGCAGTGTTAACATGGTTCTAACTTGACAAAAATTGACCATAAATGAAAGAAATAATCTTAGGAAAAGTTTGATCATGAGATAATAAATTAAAGCGTAGTTAAATACTAGGGGATTTTTTAAATGACCGCAAATTCATCAAAAATGTACATCTATATATAAACACATTTTCTACCGGTACACGTACATATAAAGCCTGCTATGTGTTATCAGATGATAACAATCTTTCTTTAGAGGACACCGCCCGAAAGAGGAAAAACGTAGTGACACCATGACTACTAGTTAGACTCGTTTCTGCTTCTCGTCATCTTCACTGTTGTGTTGCAATCTTTACAAACCCAACACTGAAAATGGTGAAAAGCCGAAACGCGTCAAACAAGCCCAAATTCTGAGCTATCAAAACTATGGAAGGACCAAAACGATCGAACCTTATATATGGGACGGATATTAATGAAAAGTCCACTATTTTTCGTGGTCCGCTTGACCAATTAATATCATTCATGCCGAAGGTCGTGGGTTCGAATCCCGCTCGTGACACTGACTTTTTTATCTCAACTAAAAACCTTAATTAATTGATTAATTAAAAGACAACACGCAAGAGTAGATAGACCGAGAAGTAGACTCATTTTTTCTAAATTTCTAAATTCATATAATCGACAATATAAATAATAATGTGAGATTTCTTCTTCGGCTGCAAGGTATTAAATTGTTCTTTGGTCGTCTCCGATCACTTAGGCCTGCTATCATTATATGTACTTATTAGGATTATTATGCGGATTTCAACTTCTCGCCATCTTCAGTAGTGGATCTGTAAAGTGGCATCCCAATACGATAAACGACCCAACTACAATAATAATTGATTTTATAATAACAAATTATACGTCACAACAGTTGTTTTGTTGGGAGAGTCGAAAATATGAGTTTCAATTTGTACGTTGTTCTTGTTCTGTCGTTGAACTAGTAATTTTCTTCAAAATTTTTCAATTCTTTAATCCAGTCTAATTAATACATTTGTAGCAATACTTGTGTCACATAAAATAATTTAAATTGGATTTTTTGACATTCAAATAAAACCTGCTATCCGTGTTATTCAATAATAATTAAAATAAATAAACGATTCTTTAATGAATTTATTCTAGAGGATTCTTGTAGGAAAACAGTTTTTAACAAGGTTATTTATTGGTGGTTGAGTCAATTTCGGGAATTACGATGAAGAACATGAAAAAGACAGGCTATAGCCTTACTAGAACTGAGTTCTGATTCTAATCAGATAAAACCTTCGTTTAACGAAAAACACGATGATACTTTTTTGTTTGTCATTTAATTAAGTCACAAAAGGTACTCTTGGTCAATCGCCTATTTTGCTTACATCGAAATGTCTTCAAAAGAACACCAAACAGTGGGAAATGAAACATGTCAACATTACTAAATTAATGTTGTGTTAAGATGAAAGATTATTTTCTGCGACTAAAGACAGCGTATAGCCGGACTATTATTTCACCATGTGTAATCTGAATATCAATCGCCCGAACTTAACCTTTGGCATGTAAATTTCAGGTGATTTACTTGTTAATGTTGTTTGATATTTTTGCCCACGCAGGAGAGTTAGGTGTTTTATTAGAATAACGATGTTTGATGTTGCTATCAACTTTTGGTACAAATTTTTATCCTTTGTAGTTTCGTTTTACGTCGATGCGTCGTGATTTGTCAACAGATCGTTTTTTGTTACGGTTGATTTTCTATGTTTTATATATACTTTTTATTTACAACCCTTTGTGAAATAAATCCCCTTACAAAAATTCCAATGAAGTCATGAAGTCGATTCGTTTGTCGAATTTCAAAAAAACATCTTCCCGTCCGAAATCACGGGTTGGAGACAGTTCCCAAAGGGCCTTTCGTGCTTTGAAGATTCATCAAGGGTGAAATCTCCTGAGGTTTAGGTAGGTAATTTTTTTATACTTATCCGTTTGTGTGCTTCATATTTTTTATATATACTTTTTCCTGTGGTTTAATATTATTTTATAAAAGTTTTCAGGAACAAAGTCCTTTGTATAGACATGGAAACATTACCAGCAATCAATTAATTAAGGTTTTTAGTTGAGATAAAAAAGTCAGTGTCACGAGAGGGATTCGAACCCACGATCTTCGGCTAGATACCCCGCTGCTCTACCACTTAAGCTATCGTGACCTCGATCCACTCGGGCACTAACTTCCCATCTCAACCCCAATTTTTTGAATTCTCCCTCCTTTTTTGCCATTTTTCAAATGTCGTGTGTTTCAAATTTAAGGAAGTGCAATTACAGTTGAGATAAAAAGTCAGTGTCACGAGCGGGATTCGAACCCACGACCTTCGGCTAGATACCCCGCTGCTCTACCACTTAAGCTATCGTGACCTCGATCCACTCGGACACTAGTTTCCCATCTCAACACCACCGTGTTATTTGTCGCCGACAATCAAATAGATTTTACGACATTTGAAAAATGGCAAAAAGGAGGGAAAATTCAAAGATGGGAAGTTGATGTCCGAGTGGATCGAAGTCACGATAGCTCAAGTGGTAGAGCAGCGGCGTATCTAACCGATGATCGTGGGTTCGAATCCCTCTCGTGACCCTGACTTTTTTTATCTCAACTAAAAACTTTATTAATTGAAAGGTATTAATTGGGCAAGCGGACCACGAAACTAGGCAATTACCACCAATGCTTTTCTCCCTTCGTTGTGCACACTTTTTATATAACTAGGATAAATTCCATAATTTTATATATTTAGATATTCTGTTAGATCGAGTTAGCACTGTTTTGTAGTTTTTCACCAAGTGAAATCGCCGATAATACAGAAACAGCATAAAGTTCATTTTAAAAGTGCAATTACAGATGTCGTTTTTACAAGACCCAACAAAATGCTATGTTCAGGATTGTAACACACTAGATAGACTTTTTTAAATTAAGCAGCGTGTGATGTTTTACAAGGTGTTCAACGATAAATTGAAAAAGTTAAATGTCCAATCAGGTTGTTGGATGTTTCTGTGCTTGATGAGTTTCAAATGTGACACTAGGGATTTACAACCTCGATCACCCGTACATTAGGGCAAATTGGCCTTTCTGTACGATTGTCATTTGAACACATTGGCCAAATTTAATGCAATTTCTCTTGTTGTCTACGTATCCAATCGTGTACCAATTGTGAGATTATATTCGTAACATCTTTTACTTAGGACAAATTTGAAACGGTTTGTACCTGTTGAAGGAATGTGAATGCACGCTATTTTACCAATTTTTATTTTTATTATTAAGTTAGATTTCTAATATTTTTTATTATACAGCGTCCTAGAAAGCTCGGGGAAAATCGCTTCTGTGGAGAGTCCGAATAAAGAAAATTTGATAACTATTAGTGATTAATATTAATTTTTTAATGTAAGCATTCCTACAAACGCCGTAGTTGTTGCTCTTTATTTTAATCGGGTGATATTTTTTATACCAAATTTTTCGGAAGGGATTGAAATTAAATAAACAAAACCATCTTCACCTTGCTTCCGTACCAAGAGAAACTGGCTTACACAATCCGTGCCTTGCAGAATCCATCGGGTTGCATCTAGGTCACTAGTTACTAGGATCGTGACAGTTAAAAATAAGCTCCCTACTATTACCAGACTCTCCCCGGTACATCTTCAGTGCTCCGCAACGACTTAATGCACAGTGGATCAGGTAAGAAATGTTTATGCCCTAAACAACAGACTGACTGAGCAATCCGTTTTAACCTCGAAAAAACAATCGATCTGCCATCTATATATATTGGTTTGCTATGGTATAAAAATATAAATGGATCTTACCGAACGTCGGCTCTGTATCCGTGGTCGTCGGCAGTGTAGCTGACCACTTGTGTCCTACCGTCGGGCAACTTCACCCTGTACTCGCCCTTGGTCTGTGCTCCCGAATGGGCCTGCGAATGCGAGAAGTCGTCGCCCGAGTAGCCGTCCCTCACTGCGTAGGAGAAGGCGTAGTTTTTAGGCGTAATAGTTTTGGAACGATAACGAGAAGGTCGTCTAGCTGCCACGGTCGTCCGAAGGTGCTGCACTGGAACAGCGACTTGCTGGAGCTGATCGTCCTGAAACTGTAACCGCTGAACCGGCACGCGCTGGATCGTGACCCTCTGGAGAGAAGTATCATCGTATTTCACGTCCTAAATCACATCAAATTTCATTTAATTATTTCACTTGTAATCAATTTTCTCTAGTATATGAATAACATCTTGGTATGTGATATATTGTTTTACCACAAAAGTTTTTTTTTTTCAATTTAATTAGTCAAAAACACTTGATTTTGTCACTACCGTAAAATACAGGCTTATTTTCCAAATTAAATGATAAAATAACTTTATGAAGAAATTGATTTATTATTTTTTATGCGAAGCGTGGTTGTTGAAAAATTAGTGTCACGAGCGTGACTCGAACCCGAACAATCTCGAATAATAAACAATTCAAATAATTACTCTGGTTAATAGAACCAACTGAAAATAATTTATTTATAAAAAAACTGAAAGATTTACTTCATAGAATGTTTTGAAATGAATGCAATCAACACATGTCGAAACAAGGATTATCTTTGATTCGCCTACAATTCCAAATAAGTGCTATCAGCCGATTCATAGTTCGAGAAATAATGGAACAATCAACAGTATGTCAATATTTGTATTTTATTATTTGATACTACCATGAGTTGGATCAGAAAAATAAGGGGACTCACAGACTTTATTTAAAAGAAAATGTAGTGTGTTCAATGTATACATTGCTTTTGGAAGATATGTACCATTTTACAGCTTAATGTCTAAAGTTCTCGCATATAATGGTAAAAACACTTACTCGAGAGGAAATGATTGAATGTTTCAACGGAAAAAAACTGATCAGCATTGGTAGATTATTATAAAAAAGAATTTCTATTTAGATCGCAACTTGCCTAGTAATAAAAAGTAATATTTTTGTTCCCTTGAGATCAATAATTGCATGGTTTTTATTTGTTTTGTTTATGTAAGTTAAAATTTAAATAGTCAAATTTTAGTTTGCTTGGGTTCAAATTGAAAGAAATTTTAAGTAAATCTCTCACTCCCCTAACGATATAAAATGTAAAACCATGGCTATTACATAATATTATATTTTATTTCAATTAATTATTCTTTCTGTGCAAGGTCTTGGTGATAAAAAAAGGTGTTTGTCAGTGTCACGAGCGGGATTCGAACCCACGACCTTCCGCTAAATACGCCGCTACTCTACAACTTGAGCTATCGTGACTTCGATCCTCTCAGACACCAACTCTCCATCTCAACCTACAATCGATCGAATTTTCACTCTTTTTGCCATTTTTCAAATGTCGTATAATCGGGACTGGATTCTCAGCGACTTATGAAGTGGCCACGGGGAGCTGTTTAGTGAAGTGATACTTCTTCTATTTATTCAATAGTAATTCATTTTACGTTTTAGTGGTCAATTGACCAAGTTACTTCTTTCAATTAATTATTCTTTCTATGTGAGGTCTTGGTTGAGATAAAAAAGTCAGTGTCAGGAGCGGGATTCGAACCACTTGAGCTATCGTAACTTCCATCCTCTCGTGACAGTTTTCGTAACATAAGTCATTATTCATTTAATATATCATAATTTCTTGTCCTTCACCTCACGCAAAAAGTTATACTAATTGTTATTCCTTATTTAATTATTAATTTTCATAATATTTTAATCTCTGAAGGGATTTTTTTATATCATTTTTGTTATTTCAGAAATTTTGAGCGATGTTGGCATGAGTTTTATTTTTTATATAAAAAAGGTTGGCAAAGTATATAAATTTTAAAAAAATATTGAACTCGCTATAATAATGTATATTCACTTTTTTTAAATCTCGAAATGTACAGATAAAAAACTAAAGCTGCTGATAGTAGTTTCAAATTTACTTTAATCTGCTGGTAGCATGTTATACAAGTAAAATGTTATATGAAAAGGGTCTTTATTTGATATAATATAAAATAAAATTCATTTTACATTTTAGTGGTCAATTGACCAATTACTTCTTTCAATTAATTATTCTTTCTATGCAAGGTCTTGGTTGAGATAAAAAAGTCAGTGTCAAGAGCGGGATTCGAACCACTTGAGCTATCGTGACTTCGATCCTCTCGTGACAGTTTTTATCTCAACCAAGACCTTACATAGAAAGAATAATTAATTGAAAGAAGTAACTTGGTCAATTGACCACTAAAATGTAAAATGAATTTTATTTTATATTATATCAAATAAAGACCCTTTTCATATAACATTTTACTTGTATAACATGCTACCAGCAGATTAAAGTAAATTTGAAACTACTATCAGCAGCTTTAGTTTTTTATCTGTTCATTTCGAGATTTAAAAAAGTGAATATACATTATTATAGCTAGTTCAATATTTTTTTTAAATTCATATATTTATATACTTTGCCAACCTTTTTTATATAAAAAATGAAACTCATGCCACCATCGCTCAAAATTTCTGATATACTAAAAATAATTTAAAAAATCCTTCAGAGATTAAAATATTATGAAAATTAATAATTAAATAAGGGATTACAATTAGTACAACTTTTTTGCGTGCGGTGAAGGACGAGAAATTATGATATATTAAATGAATAATTGCTTATGTTACAAAATTATTTTTAACAAGCTCACTCTATCACTCCATCTCTCTCATTTTTAATAGCCATCACTCCATTCCTGATTGAAACATGTGGAGTAAGTTTGATTTAAAGTTTAAATGAAACATGTGAGCCATGTTTGATTTAAAGTTCAATTGGAGGGCAGTTGATTAGCACACAACTTTAACCTATTACCGCCGATGCCGTGGTGAATCTCAAAACTATTTCCTAACTTTGAGTTAGTTACAGCTACTTGCGTTTTATTGGAGAAGTATATAATTGGCCCGGCTCCTATAAAGTGAATCTCTCTGGGAAATTTTTTTTTTAATGAACGAAAATTCATCATTCAAAAATTTTTGTTTAGCGCATTTCCGCGCGACTAGGATCTGGTACAATTATAAACATTTAAAAATATAAAAAACATGTAAACCGAAAAATCTACGTTTAAAAGCTTTTAAATGAAGTTTCAACAGATGATATCTATATTATGGTTTCGATCACTAAAGTATTAGAACGTATAATAAAACAGTTGGAAACATAATGCGATTTATGGAATTTGAGTGTGAAACTTTTAAAATCAAAAACATGATCTTTGGTGGAGGGAAGGGCAAAAGTGAAAAATGGTGGTTTACAGGTTAAAAGGTTGATATTGTAAATAAGTAGAAATATTTGGGACTGACATTAACCCTTCTGCTTTCCAAGTATTTTGAAAAAAGAAAAAATCAATGTACCCTGGAAAACAGTAATCAGAAGGGAGAAAATATACCTATTAATCTAAGTTGGTTTTGTCTGCCGCCATCTTAAGGAGTTAAGCTATAATATGTTACGCCGATCGGGGGTGGTGGTACAAGTTTTTAGGAGAGGTGACAGCAAAAAGAAGAGTTTAGTGAAAAAATATTTTTCTTGTCAAAAATAGTCCCTAATAAGTAATAGCTCTGGAAATCGATTTAGAACCATCATTTCTTCATACTTCTTCACTTTGATTACATTTTAGAAACATTAACTCTACCGAAGGATCGTATCTCGAGGAGGTTGGCACAGTACGTTATAGTTAAAAAGTTACATTGGTGGATTATGTTCAGAAATATAATATACAGGAGGTGGAATTAAATATGATTTATAGAGATGGATTTAAGGTAAAAAAGAATTTGCTGCTAGAAAAGTTAACGGCAGAGTACAAAGTAAAGTACTAAATAAAAGAGAACTGACAAAATTTCATCCACTTTATAAAGAACTGTCCATCGATGTGGCCTATAATTATATGAATAATGACAATAAACTCCACATCACAAGTGTAAATATGAAAGCAAGATGGGAACTCGTGTCTCTAAATTTCTCCCCATGCAGAAAACAAGAGCAGCATAATGGTGCTTTATGTAATTTAAATGAAGTCTGAGACATTTTCCATTATTTACCCCAATATTAACAGATTTACGGATTATGTACTTTAATTGAAATGTTTTAAGCAAAGAATCCATGATTAATGCATTGGACGATGAATACTGGGAATATGGCAATATTCTAAAATTAATTAATTACAGGAAAGTTTTACTAAATCAATATAACTCGTGAATCAATAACATACACCATTCTCTATTTTGAAATAAAAAAAATATTACATACAACAATGCCCATGACTTAATATTTACAGTTATTAAGTTTGGTAGTTATAAACAATATATATATTTCTTCCATTACTGTATATTCGGTATATTCTCATTTTATCAAGTAAATATACTTAAAATAAACAAGTTATCTATCTATCCATACATCTATCTATCTGAATTATCGTGTTCTAAAAACGATTGCAATTATTAAGTTGTACAGAGCTTTTCAATTTCTGGGGTTTTCTACATCGTTAAACTTTAGTTTCAACAATACTATTCTATTTCAATTAATTAAGGTTTTGGTTGAGATAAAAAAAGTCAGTGTCACGAGAGGGATTCGAACCCACGAGCTTCGGCTAAATACGCCGCTGCTAACCACTTGAGCTATCGTGACTTCGATCCACTCGGACATCAACTTCCCATCTCAACCCCACCTTTTGAATTTTCCCTCCTTTTTTGAGATGGGAAGTTAGTGACAGAGTGGATGAAATCACGACAGCTCAAGTGGTTAGCAGCGGCGTATTTAGCCGAAAGTCGTGGGTTCGAATCCGTTTGTGGCACTGACGTTTTTATCCCAACCAAAACCTTAATTAATTGAAAAATAATTTATTTGGTCAAGCGGACCACGAAACCTAATAAAAAATTCTATTCGATTTTTTAACGAGGCCAACATAAGATTTTTAAAGATTTAAGAGAGAAACCCTTTTCTTCAGTTTATCACCTGAAGGATCATTAAATAAATTTAACAACATTAATCTAAATGCTCATCGTACATGAAAGGGTAAACAAACTAAAAATTTAAAAATAATTCATAATTGATTACAAAAAGTAGTTTACTTATTAAATTTTTAATATTTTTAGGATGACATCTGCTGGAATTAGATGCCAAGTTTTTAATTATTAATTTAATAACGCCGCTGCTCTATCGCTTGACATCGATCCACTCGGACACTAACTTCCCATCTCAACCCCACCTTTTGAATTTTCCCTCCTTTTTTGAGATGGGAAGTTAGTGTCAGAGTGGACGAAGTCACGATAGCTCAAGTGGGCGAGCAGCGGCGTATGATCAAGCGGACCACGAAACCTAATAAAAAATGCTATTCTATTTTTTAACGAGGCCAACATAAGATTTTTAAAGATTTAAGAGAGAAACACTTTTCTTCAGTTTATCACTGGAAGGATCAATAAATAAATTTAACAACCTTAATCTAAAAGCTCATCGTATATGAAACGGTAAACAAACTAAAAATTTAAAAATAATTCATAATTGATTACAAAAAGTAGTTTACTTATTAAATTTTTAATAGGATGACATCTGCTGGAATTAGTTGCCAAGTTTTTAATTATATATTTCAATTAATTAAGGTTTTTAGTTGAGATAAAAAATTCAGTGTCACGAGCGGGATTCGAAACCACGATCCGCCGCTGCTCTACCACTTGAGCTATCGTGACCTCGATCCACTCGGACACTAACTTCCCATCTCAACCCCCACCTTTTTTTAAGTTTCCCTCCTTTTTGCCATTTTTCAAAAGTCGTGTAATCCATTTTATTCTCGGTGACAAATGAAATGGCCACGGAGAGCTTTGGTGAAGGTATTCTTCATTTAAACTTATTAAATTCACTAGTTTCGTGGTCCGCTTAACAATTAATATCTTTCAATTAATTGGTCAAGCGGATCACGAAACTAGTGAATTTTTAATTATAATTGGGCACGTTTTGATCATTCAAATACCTTGGACACAACACTCAAAACCCATTATCTCTTAGTGTTTCCTATTCATTAATTTAAATTTATTTTGTTTGTGAAATATGTTTTACCAGTGCTATGTGCAATGCTTGTTTTATTTATGACGCCCCTTTCTTTAAAAATAACCAATTAATATGCTGTTTGTCTGCCCAAAATATGATCCGTCACATAGAAGACAAAATATTCAGTATGTTGTAAGCTGGTCGTTAAATGTTTTGTTGGCCAATGGCCGAGATCGTCAAGACGTCTGACTCTCGTGAATCACGAATGTTATTGAATTGAGCATACGCTGAAAAGGGTCCAGATTCTCGTCAGCAAAATCCAGGCGTAGTTAGGCGCAATGTCCTTTATTACGATGGTAACATTATGAAGTAATTATGCAAAATTAATAATAAATTTATTACTGCATCAATTAATAATGAGAAACTGGAAATTTTGTGATGTAAAGACGAAAAAATATTCAACCCATTTTTAGCGTTGCACTTTAATGAAAACTGATTTTAGCTCAGGAATGCTTCATTTAATGAAAAGAAATTATGCTTTTATCAAGACTTCATTTTGAACTATGTACAATGTTTGTTTTATTTGTGAAGTCCCTTTCTTTAAAAATAACCTATTAATATCCTGTTTTTCCCCCAAAATATGATCCTTCACACAGAAGACAAAATATTCAGTATGTTGTAAGCTGGTAGATTTTATACAAACTAAACTGTAGAAAGGATTGTTTTTTGAGAGAATGATTTATCAAAAATAATTTAAAAACTTTAAACTAGATAAAAAAATAAAAGTTTTGAGTTTGGACTTACGTTAATGTGAAGAGGATGTTTGACATTTGGAGGTTTCAGCTTCTGCTGCTGCTGTGGCTGGGCTTGGGCGGATTCTGGAACTTTCGGAAACTGGATCGGTGCCCCGTTGCTTGGCTCACCCCTCGTCGGCGGCCTCTCGAAAAAGCTGTAAGGGTGCGGCAGGGCTGCGACGTCTTGGGCGTCGAGCGGAGCCCGTTCTTCGACCAAGGACTCGTCTGATAAAGTGTACGGGTGAGGGTTGAACGTCCTCGGTCGCAGGAACCTCTCAGGCACCCCGACTTCCAGGCAGCGCGCCACTCCCAGCAAACCTACCAAAATCCCGAC